CTCGCGCTGGGCGCCAGCGTCAGAGGCGGCTGCTCCAGGCGCCTGGCTTTTGTCCTGTGAGTCCCGCGACTGGGCCACCTGAGTTTGGCCCAGTTCATTTAATTTTTTAGATATATTTTTCCTAGAGGCCCGGTGCACGAAATTCGTGCAAGAGTAGGAATTCCTTCCCCCAGCTGTGGCATCGGCTTCCGTCCGGCACCCGGGACCTGGGCTCCCCTCCGACCACCGGCAGGCATTCAGGGCCCAGGCTTCCCTCACAGCCCCAGCTTCATCTGGAAGGTCGTCCGGAAGGACGTCCAGCCTGATTAGCATATGATGGTTTTATTATTATAGATTGATTTCAGAGAAGGAGGGAGAGAGAGACACACACACACATCCATGATGAGAGAGAATCACGGATCGTCTGCCTCCTGCTCGCCCCCCACTGGGGATGGAGCCCGCAACCCGGGCCTGTGCCCTGAGCGGGAATCGAACCCTGACCTCCTGGTTCCTAGTTAATGCACAACCACGGAGCCACGCCGGCCGGCCGGGCGGCGCAGTTAATTTAAAAACCTGCAGTGTCCGAGGGATCTTTGCTGAAGCTGGTGTGTTCAGTCCCCCGCTGAGAGCCGGGCCTCCTGGCCGCAGACAGCCAAGGAGCGGCCTGGTGACGAGATCAGGCTGGTGCCCCGGGGACTAGGCAGGGCCGGACCTCCTGGGGCGGGCGTTCTCTCTCTCTCTCTCTCTCTCTGGTTGTGGATTTCCCAGGCCTCCCCGCCCCTCCCCCCTCCGCTCCTGCCCTTTGCCTGTCTGCGCGCTCAGGGCAGGCGGAGGGGAAAGATGTCCGACTGGAGTCAGATAATTCCTTTACTCAGGCCGCTCGGGCCCCAAAGAGGCTGGTCACGGAAATCTCCACGGGCCGCGTGGGGAGCCTGCGCCCTCCCCACCCACGTGGGTGCACACAGCGCCTCGTGCAAACATTCTCTGCCGCCTCGGTCTCATTCACGCACATGCACACGCACACATGCCCACACATGCAATCACACATACATGCGCACAGAGATGCACTCATGCACACACAGATACGCACGTGCACACATGTGCACACACATGTAACCGCACATACACGCACACAGATACATGCATGCACACATACCCACACATGCAATCACAGAGATGCACACATGCCCAAACATGCAATCACACATACGTGCACACAGATACATGCATGCACACACATGCAATCACACATAGAGATGCACGCATGCGTGCACATGCAATCACACAGAGATACGCACATGCACGCACATGCACACAGAGATACACACGTGCACACACATGCACATACATGCCCCTGCGTCCCCACCCAGCTCTGTAGCCTTGTGAGCGGGAACCAGCGCCTTCCCCTCCCATGAGCAGAGGCCAGAGGTCAGGTGTGGGGGCGGAGGGGGGCGCGGTCTGGCCGTGGTCCCCAGGCCCCGCCCCCTGACGCCGGGCTCCGGCTCTGGCAGATCACCTCCAGAGTGTTCTTCGGGGAGCCCGGGCCCTGGTTCAACCAGCTGGACATGGACGGCGACAAGACGTCAGTGTTCCACGACGTGGACGGCTCCGTGTCCGAGTACCCCGGCTCCTACCTCACCAAGGCCGACAACTGGCTGCTGCGGCACCCCGACTGCATCGACGTCCCCGACTGGCGTGGGGCCATCTGCAGCGGGAACTACGCACAGGTGGGCACGCACAGGGGACACGCACAGGGGGCACATATGGATCGGCTGCCTCCTGCACGGCCCCCACTGGGGATCAAGCCTGCAACCTGGGCATGTGCCCTTGACCGGGAATCGAACCCGGGACCCTTCAGTCTGCAGGCCGGCGCTCTACCCACTGAGCCACACCGGCCGGCAGCCCAGCCCTTTTAAAAGATGCGCAGGCCTCGGCCAGAGTGCACTGTGTGGCGTGGGCTGCGTGGCGAGGGGACCCCTTATCTGGTCGCCCCTTCCCCTGGTCTAAGCAGGGCTGTAGGCCGAGGCTCACCCGCGCCCCTGGCGGGATCCCTGGTAACCGCCCCTTGTGTGGTTCCTTTCCGGGTCCGAGAAGATGTACATCCAGGCCTACAGGACCAGCAACCTGCGCATGAAGATCGTCAAGAACGACTTCCCGGGGCGCCCCCTGCACCTGGAGGGCGCGCTGACCAGGAGCACCCACTACCAGCAGTACCAGCCGGTCGTCACGCTGCGCAAGGGCTACACCATCCACTGGGACCGCATGGCGCCGGCCGAGCTCGCCATCTGGCTCATCAACTTCAACAAGTGAGGGGGCGTGGCCGGGAGGGCAGGGAGCGGGGCCTCAGGAAGGCCACGCCCCTAGGGCAGGCCACGCCCCCTGCAGGCCTCTGGAAGCCACGCCTCCTGCAAGGCCTCAGCCTGGGCACGCCCCCTATGGCAGGCCACGCCCCTTGCAGGTCCTCTGGAAGCCACGCCCCCTGCGGGGCCTCAGGCAGTCAGGCCCCCTCCAGGGCCTCTGGGAGCCACGCCCCCTTCAGTGCCTCAGCCTGGTCACGCCCCCTAAGGCAGGCCATGGCTCTGCAAGACCTCTGGAAGCCACGCCCCTCCAGGGCCTCAGGAAGCCATGCCTTCTGCGAGGCCTCAGCCTGGTCACGCCCCCTAGGGCAGGCCACGCCCCCTCCAGGGCCTCTGGAAGCCATGCCTTCTGCAAGGCCTCAGCCTGGTCACGCCCCCTAGGGCAGGCCACGCCCCCTCCAGGGCCTCTGGAAGCCATGCCTTCTGCAAGGCCTCAGCCTGGTCACGCCCCCTAGGGCAGGCCACGCCCCCTCCAGGACCTCTGGAAGCCACGCCCCCTGCAGGGCTTAGAACAGGCCACGCCCCCTGCAGGGGGAGCACCGCAGGGCCCGTTGTCACCCAGCAGCTCAGCCTGGAGACCGGGCCCAGTCCCACATGGGGTGTGTGTGAGACCTCAGGCCGGCGTCCGACCCCGGGAGCCCCAGTCCCTTTGTCCGGGCGGTGGGGCCAGTGACACCCACAGGATGCAGTGGGGTGCAGGGAGGTCACGTGTAAGGCAGGCACATGCCTGGCCAGGACGTTCCGTTTCACACGGGCTCTGGGGCCCGGGGCCGACTCGGGGAGGCAGGATGGCGTTTTCTGTGTGTATTTGCGTCTGAGCATCTTCCATGCCGCAGTCCTGCGAGGCAGGCATGTGTGGGATGCGGGGAAGAGCCCCAAAGCCATGCCGGGGCCGCGGTCAGGCTGGGCAGGAGCGGCGGACCCAGGGCCTCCGCCTGGACTGGCACCCAGTGGAGAGGATGTCTGTGCAGCCGGGTCTGGGCGGGGCCCGATGTCTGCGCTGGAGGTGCCCCAGGGACCCTGCATGGTCCTCCCTTCATGATCCTCCCTGCATAGTCCTCCCTTCATGGTCCTCCCTGCTTGGTTCTCCCTGCATGGTCCTCCCCTCTCCTGGGACTCAGTCATGACAACAGCACCTGCTCCTCAAAAAGAGAGGCACCCCAGAAAGAGAGGCAGCCCCGCTGGGGGCGGGGGGGGGGTTCTCCACGCCCCAGAGGTGCCCGGAGGCTGGCTGGCAGGTACGCTAACTCCGTCTCCGTTGCCAGGGGCGACTGGATCCGCGTGGGGCTCTGCTACCCCCGGGGCACCACCTTCTCCATCCTCTCGGACGTGCACAACCGCCTGCTGAAGCAGACGTCCAAGACCGGCACCTTCGTGCGGACCCTGCAGATGGACAAGCTGGAGCAGAGCGTGCCCGGCCGCAGCCACTACTACTGGGACGAGGCCTCGGGGTGAGTGGCCCGCGTGGCGTGTCCTCGTGGCCTCCCGCCCCGGGATCTCCGTGGCCTGGCCCCGCCCGGCTGTCAAGCGTTGGAGGAGGAAACATCTGTGTCCACAGCCCTTGGCTGGGCTGCCTGGGGTTCTAGTCAATGGAGAGATGAGGGGAGAAGAGGGGTTCCCTGCCCTGTGCCGACAGCCTGGCACCCCAAGAATGCCCGCGCTTCTCCACCGGGTGGCGCTGGGCACAGCCAGGCGGCGGCCACGGGGGAGGCGCACCTGGAACCCCGTCCCTTCTAGAAGTCTCTGTTTCATTTGCTCAGTTATTTTGGTTTTTGTTTGTTTTTACATATTTTTATGGGTCTCAGAGAGGAAGGGAGAGGGCGAGAGAGATGAGAGAGAATCAGTGATGAGAGAGAACCCATTCGGGTTTCCTTTGCATTCTGTCGCGTTTCCTTCGCTGTGCAAAAAACCGTTCCAGTCTGCCCCATTTGTTTATTTTTTCGTTTGTTTTCCTTGCGCAAGGAGACACATCCCCTCCAAAATGTTGCTAAGAGCGATGTCGGAGCTGACCGCCTGTTTTTCTCCTAGTTTAATGGTTCCAGGTCTTACACTTAAATCTTCAGTCTTTGGGTTTATTCTTTTTTTTAAATATATATATTTTATTGACTTTTTACAGAGAGGAAGGGAGAGGGAGAGAGAGTCAGAAACATCGCTGAGAGAGAAACATCCATCCGCTGCCTCCTGCACGCCCCCCACTGGGGATGTGCCCGCAACCCAGGTCCATGCCCTTGACCGGAATCGAACACGGGACCCTTCAGTCCGCAGGCCGACGATCTACCCACTGAGCCACACCGGCCAGGGCATTTGGGGTTTGCTCTGGTGCCTGGTGTCAGAGGTGGTCTGGTTTCACTCGCTTGTTTGAGTGGCTGGTGAGGGGCGAGTTTCCCCCGCAGCGCTGACGGGAGGGGCGGTCTCTGTCCACCGTCTGCTCTTCCTCTGTCCCGGATGGACCTCAGGGGCGTGAGTTTCCTCCCGGGCTCTGGGGATGCAGTG